CGGTTCTCCCAGCCAAAGACAGCCTGATCAACTCACTCCTCTCGTGCAGCCCCTCGCAGCCACAGCTACATGCTCAAAACGCAGCTCGGGCCGTGTCTTCATTTCATCTTCATCAACAGGAGGACAAAATATGCCACTCACAGGGCAGGATTCTTACGCCGTGGGAAGAACCCCAAAGAAATTCTGTCTAGAAATACAGAAGCAATGTACCCCTGACACCCTGAAGCAGTTGGCTTCACAAGTTTGAACTGGACAAATTCAACCTAATCAGACAGCCTTTTAATAAACCATTCTGCAATTAAATTAAAAAGAATTAATTAGAAATTAAAATGACAGAACGTTATGAGTATCTATGCAAGTATTCCCAGGGATGAGCACAAACAGACCCTATAGGCCCTTGAAGGGGACAGACCATACACATTTAATAGCAAGTAACGAACCGCTCCACTACGCAGCTTTCGAAAGCAAAAGCAAAAAAAACCCTGAAAAACAATTCTGAACACTTTTGAGGATCCCAAAATCATGTTCTGTCTGGCTGTGCTGTGACAGGCTCCAAAACTTTTTGCTTTCAGCAGCCTCCCTGCCACAGGGTCCCGCCAACGGAGACGAACCACGGAGCACTCGGGGAGTGACGAGCTTGAGCAGGACACAAGCACTCCAGCCGCGCTTGTGACTGCGCTCGTCAGCCCCGCGACTCCCCGCTCATCAGCTGTCATTACCCGCAAGAAGTTCTGCAGCGCGTCCTGGACAGTGGCTGTCGGGGGGGCTTCAAACAAAGCAGAAGCAGTCTTTTTTTCAAGCCATCCCAGGTGGGAAACCTGCAGAGAGAGGAGGATGCAGCCAGCCCCACTAGAGACACGGCCCGCGCAGAAGCAGACAGACAGGGACTCAGCCCGGTTCCTGCGGCTGGCTCGTGCGCCCGGGAGCGAGCCACGGAGCCGGGCAGTGCTGGCAGATTCTGGACCAACATCCAAGTCCCAGCCCAGCATTAAACCCGATTTGCTCTTCCTTGTCCCCAGCTTATATTCCAGGTCAGCTTGTGCAGTTCCAAACATCCGCTGCCACCTGCCTAACGCCCCAGGTAGGCTTTGCCTCTGCAGCTGAACACCACAGGCACGCAACAGCGCGGGTGGCCAAGCCCCAGACCGCCGAACGGCGACCGCACGGGTCCCCGCAGCTCCCACCGCCGCACGGCAGCGCACGCGCACCGGGAGCCCTCCCGTCCCCCAGCTCAAACCCTGAACAGGAACGCACACGGATCCCTCGGGAGAAGCAGGCTAAAGCCTGCCCACCAACAGACAGCCACATTTTGAGGAACAGGTCGCTATTACAATTTCATGCTGTCTTCTCCTCCTGCTCCCAGCCCTCTCTCCAATAAGAAACACCCTGAAATTTCAGTGGGGGCAAGGACACACAGGACGGTAACTTCTGATAACACCTTCCTCGTTTAATACTGTTTAACTCCTACAATGCAGGACAGCAGAAGCACTAACGTACAGCTGCGCTTGTCTCACAGCTTCAGCAGCTCCAAGAGCAGGAAGGCTGCATAGAAATCCCCAGCAGAACGAAGAGCTAGGAGCTTCCACTGGTTTCGCTCACTGCTCCTCCGTAATTAACGGTGTCAATTATCTCAGCTACAATCGCTGCAATGTGACTTCTTTCCTGACAGCAGTGAAGTGCTTTCAAATTGTATAAACTGCAAAGTAGATAGTTACTGCAAACTCTTTCTTTTTACAGGCACTAAATCTGATTTATGGTAGTTGACTCCAAGCTTTTCCCTGTCAAGAAATACAAAGCAGACGGCACGCTTCCTCTAATACCTCCAGCACTCTGGTAGCAAGGGCAGGGGAAACACATGCAAAGGATTACACAGATATACTGTGTGCAGAAGCTCTTGCCAGCCCTGAAATGTCCTTGATCACATCCATATGTGCCTAAAGGTCTGAAGGCAGTTTGTTTGCACCGAGTAAAGCACAGGGAACAGCCAGTCAGTCTGCAGCTGTGCTCTTCCTAATCCATTCTTCGCCATTTCACCTCCCATGACGCCTGCAGTGACTGAAAAACTAAGCCCAGAGCCCCGAACCCTTCAGAGCTCCAAATCAGAGCAGTTTGGAAATAACGCTTTTAGCAAACAGCTTCCTCTGGGAAAGAGACAAAAACCAGGGGGAAATGGAGAGCAGAACAGTGGCAATAAGGAAATGCAACAGCACTAACCCCAGCAGCTTTCATTCTGTCGCAGAGAGGTACACCAAGCACTCTTACAGCCTTTTGCTGGTTTGGGGACAAAAGTATCACAAGAGGAAGAGCCAAGGACATTGCCAATATGAAAGCACACTCCTCGTGCTTTTAAAAACTTCAGTGTGCCTTCACTGCCACCAACCTCTGCTTTTAAAAACTTCAGTGTGCCTTCACTGCCACCAACCTCTCTCCACCTCCTCCTGATCACCAGCTCGGTGTTTCTGCAGTCGCTCTCTTCCTATGAACTTATACAAACTCTTCTTAAAAACCTGCACCATTCAAATCCAGTGCTTCCAGTGGTAACGCCAGTACGAAGGAATACGTTTTAGGTTTAACAGGAGGCAGCCAAGAGGGAGGGGGCCTGCCTAGGACTTCTCGCTTACAGTTCAGAAAACAGCTTCGATGGACAGCTGAAAGACTCCGAGTGACACTGCGTCCTGGCAGGTAACAGCTTCAGTCGTGTTTTACAAACGCACCACACCACCAGCTCTTACATCGTCAGAGGTTTCCGAATGCATTTATGGTATTCACCAGCAGAGTGTTCCTCTCAGCACTGTTCAGGACTGAAGCGAAGAGTTTCTCGATCCCACGCAAGTGCAGCTTTGAAACTACTTCTTCAAGCCACTGGGACATTCCCCTGCCTGTCCTTTCTGATACGATAGCCGAGTTCAGCAGCTAAAGAGCGTCCTCAGCCCTTATGGCTGGTGGTTCGGATCCGCTTATCTGTCACTCAAACAGGGAATTAAATTCCAAGGAGGAAGAAACCAGCACAAAGTGGTAATACACTGTTTTACCTGGTAACACCAGCGGCCCAGAAGATAGTAAGACTCTGGATCCTCTGGCTGCAGTTCAATCGCTTTATCAATGTGTTCCTACGGAATTCCACAATTTAAGCATCAGGGATCAAGAAAATGACAGCTATAGATTTCAAATTCTCATAAAATGGTTTCAGCGAACACACAAAACCAGCATTTTACCAGCCTCAGAGACAAGAATTCTCACACACACAAAACATGAAGCTGCCCTTCATTTTGTCCTGCTGCCTTCTCAGAGATTTGACATAACCAGCTTGCTGGTCGCGTCAAGAGCTGACGAGGTGGGAACTACCCGGGGCCTGCTCTGCAGCAGCTCCTGCGTGTGCACCCTCCTACCCTCTCACATCCCCGCTGCGGATGAAGGGCAAATAAAGGAATCCGAGGCAGATTAAATCCTCTTTGAAAAATAACTGCTTTGCATTTACGGGAGGGTGTGAGCACGCTCGCAGGCAGTTACAGATGAAGAGCCGGTGCTGCATCTTCTTACCACGTGGTAATTTCATGTGTCAAGCTCTCAGTCTCATCATATACACACATTTTATCTGCAAGGCTTTTCTTCTTGTTTTTTTCTGAGATTACCGTGTGCAGCATTGCAGGACCAGACAAGTCACCCCCACCACAGCTGCTGGCATCACCGTGCTCAGCCCAAACTGCCCACTCACAGCATCTCCTCCCTACTAAGCGCAGGAGCCGATCTTCCCAACTTCCTACTCCAGAAGTAAGAACTGTTCCATACTTACACAACCACCAGCACGTCCTTTCTACTCACCTTGAAAACGTACCCAGCTTGAATGCGCTTCTGAATACTCTCGTGTTCCGCCAGCTGCCCGCAAAGAACAGCGTACCTGCACGGAGAGACGTCTGCATGAAACGAAATCGTTCTGAACACACATTCGCATCCCGGTGAGCTCTACAGCAGGAAGCCGTACAAGCGCACTACAGCTTCACAGCTGGCTGGGGAAAACAAGGAATGCTGTGCATCCTTCAGAGGGAAGGGACACAGGCAGTAAAAATTCAGCGTAGAAGGCGGCGTTAGCTTCAAGGGTGCTGGCAAGTCCCCAGGAGCGGCTCGCTGTGACACGGAAGCTCGCCGCGCCGAAGGCTGGGAAGCCTTCCTTCCACACCAACACTTTACACCCCAAACTTCTTCACCCAGCAACAAACCGTGGCCAAGCACAGAGCAACGAAGAGCGAACGCTACTGCAGCGAGAGCCAGGACTACAGGAAGCTCCAACTCGGGCACGCAGCGACTTCCAGGCGCAACGCCCAGCCTACGGCACAGCGGTCGGCTACTTTGAGGGGAAACACACGAGAACCTACCGCCCTCCTGCAGCCCCACACGGCCACCGAACTTGGGAAACAAAATAACACGTTTTCAGTGTCGCAAGTGCCAAGCCATTCAGCTGTGCCTCGCAGGAGATCATAAACTTTGACCCCGCGAAGCACAGTACCCAGCAAAATTCTCTATTCCATGCGCTGCGAAAGTTACAGCAGGTTAATTACGCGTGGGTTTGCCCCCTCCCCCCTCACCCCCCCCCATCACAGCAGTTCTCCCCTCCTCTCCGAGCCTGGCTCAGGAAGCACTAGGTGGAACAGACGGACAAACGGACACCACCAGTCTCGTCCTTTCAGAAAATGAAGCTGGAAAGGAGAACGATGCGAGCGAACCTCCCTCCCCTGCGATTTCTCTTCCCACACCCGCAGCCCAGCGTCGCGGGGTGCTCTGTCCCCTCCTGCCACGCCACCCCCCGGAGCAGCCCTGCTGATGGTTACCCCAACAGACACCCGGGCAGGATGCTGTCAGAAGGCGTTCAGATCTCCAAGCACGCTTTCTTCTGTGTCACGAGAGATCCCACAAAGCATTTCACAGCTCCTTGCTCTTGCCTGAGCCAAGTTTGCAACGTGGAGGTTATGATACAAAGAAGTTGTGTTTCCCGAATATTTACAATTCTGTCATTAAATCTCACTCCTTTAACATGTTTATTTTCTGGGGAAAAACTCTGGTTCAGTTCTAAACTTCCTATTTCCCATGATAAGGGAAAAGATGACCAGATCAATGCCTGCACTCGGTCAGACCCACTTCCTCCAGCTGCCCGAGCTCACGGCTGCGCTGCCACGGCCCGTCCCTTGCAGACGATGAAGTTACGTGGGTTTGCCATCTTCCCCAGTTTGCTTCCCAGCAAACCCCAGCCTGTGCTAAATACCCCTCACCACAACATGCCTGGGCTTTAGAAATACAAGCCCATAAAAGGCTTATTTTCTGAGCTCACGACAGAAAGCGCTCCCACACAACACATCAGGCAGCCTGTAGCCCTGCCGAAGGCAGAGGAACTTCCCAGAGCGCGGCTCACAGAATCACAGAATCACAGAATAGTAGGGGTTGGAAGGGACCTCTGTGGGTCATCTAGTCCAACCCCCCC